GCGAAAAAAAGGGGGCGGGAGCGCCACGGTAGTCTAATGGTTATGGTGCTTCACTGCTGGGCCGCAGGTAGCGGGTTCGAAATCGGGCTGTGGCTGCCGCATTTTAGGTGGACGCAAAATGCTTGAGGCCATGTGCTTACACTTACAAGCACGTTAAAGCACCCCAGCTGGTCGGAATTTCCGGAGCTCCCAATACGGCGTTTTATAATCATATAGTGGTTTTGGTACGTTAAACCCCAACAATTATTTCATAATAAAAAAGGAGTGAGGAAAAAAAGACAGCTACCCCCCTCCCACTCTTCCGCAATCATCTACGGGGGCCGCCACGTCTGCCCCGTAGCTTCGAAACATTCTGACATGCCCCTTTTTGTTTAAAGTACAAGTTTATGGTTATGACCGCTGAGAACCACAGTGTGCATTCCAAGAACCTTTTATTGAATATCTGCATCCCCTGAAAGGGAGAGGTGGAATGTTAGACGTCGTGCGCAGCATCTCATCGCTTGATTTTCAGTGTTGCCTACATTGTGAAGCTTGGCTTCTTTTGGACTTGACCTACTTTTTTTAGTGGAAGAAGATGGGGGTTCACCCCCTTTTCATCCCCATAAAACCAGCGCCCACCTAATGATGTAACAGTAGAAATTTGGACGTATAAAATTGCCTCACGTAGGAGTAAGAGAATAACTTTTTAAATTTGTTTTGGGTGTACAAAAGAATGCATTGTGAGCACTTTTCTAAGCACAACAACGAAACGAGTGAAGAGGCGTCATTATGACGAATAGCGTGTCCCAACAAAGTCTTGAATTCTTGAGTTTTACCTGCTAAAACTATGGTACGATTATGACGCGCATAGTAGTCGGGTACTCCAGAGTGTTTTTTACAAACCCGGGTCTACAAAGTATTAGCTTTCATTACATTTTGTTCAAGTTGTATCGCTCAGTAACTCATTGTAAGCAAGGAAAATCTTGAAGCTGACTCGGCATAAACATCATTCTACAGCATGAACGACAGATTAGATTTGATTTGCGCGTATTCGAAGCCGTCACCCTTCAGCGTGTTAGCTCTTTTGAGACGGCCAACTCAGTTCCGTTAGCTCGTAGAGATTGCATGTTGTTTACTTCAACTATAGAACGATAGAATGACGACACTCACTACTTCACCAATGTTTAGGAAGCCGTGCCAGGTGACCGTATACTTTGGGTTCACACTCAAGTTGCTTTGCCGCTTGGCTTCTTTCAGTGCTGCCTGAGGCGTCTCTGCCATAACTTGGCCCTGCAACAAAGCATCGAAGAAGATTGCTCAGAATGATGCCCTTAAATGCTTAGCTGTGAGGGATCTGTGAAAATATTTCAGGGATGCTAATATATGCGGTCTGTATGGCTGAATGTGTACGTACGTGAAAATAAGAACGAGATTGTGATTCACTCATGTGTACACTTGTGTTCGCGTCCCATCTCGAACTTTCTGAATAAAAAACCATGCACACACTAAACAAATGAGCCCCTTTGGGGCGTATGAAGGCTGTTTGATGGTCACGTGCCCGTTGCCCTCACATTTAAGAAGTAAAACCTAATTATAGGCAGAAAATAATTTAACGCTCTTTCCAGCCTACTTTCAGTTGGAAAGGAAAATTGTTGACTGTATTGTCACAGACGGGGAAAAAGCACAACAAACATTTTTCGTATTACCAATTTTCGTTATTCAATACTGTCAAGAATTTCCGACGACGTCTCGTCTCATTATACGGGTGCATGTAATTAGACCTCAATGTCAGATGTAATGAATGTTTTTTATAACCAGAAAGGCAAGGGTGTTAGCCACGGCACATGCATAGGCGATTGAACAGTAGACGAGACTGCCTGTATTATAGGATACAATATATGTTGGGCTTTATAGGTCGCCTAAATTGAGGGCGAACGACTGGTGGTATATTACAGCCACACAATGCGTGCCAAGAATAAAAAAAAAACCTGTAGAAACTGCAAAAACCAGGCGATAAAATCAGAAAGTTTTCAGGTGCAAGAGGACGCCAGCTGGCAGAGATCCACTTGCTGAGACAAGTCTTTATTCCTAAGAGAATATATGTAACTATGGTGATGATGAATTGCTTATTGTAGCCTACAACAATAAAAAAATGCTGATAGCCGTTGCTAAGCACGATATAAAAATACCTGAAGTGACTCACATACATACTTACCATAAGCACATTTCACTGACTCAATGCACAGCAGAGCGAGCATCCTTCACTTCTATTAGTGGCATAGCCAGGAGGGAGGTAGCCTACTGGGCCCGTGCCCCCCCCCCCCTCGAAATATTTTTTGCCATGGCATATTGCCACATTCCTTCCTCGAGTTTTGTTATCACCTCGCTGCACTGTAAGTAATGTTCAGCGCAAACCGCGCCTGCAGTGTTCGGCAAGATTTGGGACTGTAATAGATAATTTTGTTAACATTACGCGCACAACGCGATCATTGTAGATTATTTTGGAACTTACGTGACTGCTAATGATAACGCTGAAATATTTGATGGCAAACGTATAAATGCAGATGCGCTTCATTGCTTGTCGACGGCCGACGTTCTGTTTGCCGCTATCAGTGCTAGTGGTTATCGCTGTAATGTGAGTTTCCTTTTACCAGCCACAAGTTGGGCCAAATAAACATTTAATTTTAGACATACAGTCTGTTCCCCTGGTTCCACGTCTCGACGCCGTGACAATATACAGCCCAAAATGACACCCAACCACAACTATCTGTCAAGCTTTCGCTCAAGATAAGTGGTGCCCCCTCTCCCACCCCCCCAAAAAAAATATCTGCCTACGCCCCTGGCTTCCATAAAATTGTTTCCTGCTTGCACACTCATAAGTCGACATTCAGGTACTGACATGACAGCGTAAATGAAATAAGTACCATAGTATTCCAACCTGCAACCTGAGAACCATAAGCTACAACTCACGCCTTTATTTCGCACTTCGTTACAGCGGCATTATATGAAACACGAACTGTTGCCGCAATCAGTTTGCTTTGTATCATGTCTATCACAGTAGAAAATGGTGTGAGCGTTTCATTTATGGCAATTAAGTTTTTCTGCATTGTTTAACGTACATGCCGAGTGGAACCACCCAGCTGCTTTTGTCTGCCAACATAATATTGCTCATGCTTTATCATCAACGATATAATAAATTATTGTTCATTTTTTTCATACTTCTCCGTCTTATTTACGTTTTTTTTATTTTTATGAAAACTTCTGTATCATTCACCGTCTTTCATTTTTCTATTTGACTGTTAGTTTGCAAAAGATTGGAGCCAGCATTGATGCTCCTGATTTTATAAAATTAAGCAAATGAATCCCGCCAAATACGGAAGGCTGCGTGTGAACATCTCAGTCGGATTTCTCTACCGCTATGGCTGTCGTGTCAGGGCCCATTGAACTACAGAAATTATCAGCTTTCTTTTGTGACTGGCTGAGTGTTTGATAGAACGAAACGCGTTTTGCTTGAGTCTACATATGCTGCTCAAATTTAACAAAATGCTTACCTTTGTGGTACCTGCACGTACGCGGAAAGACTTCGAGCGCTTGTCTTACCCAGCCTCACACTCACTGTCTTCGTCTTCAGCAGTCGAGATGCGCGCGCTCTGTAAAGGTAATGGCAATAGAGATAATGATGATGATGGTAAACATAGGACGCTTGGAACACCCTACATAAGTGACGGGAATAGATGCATAGAGTAGATGTAATTAATCAAATTTATGAAATGTGAAAATTGATAATTATTAAAACAAAATAAAATTACACGTAAAGGTACATTGTCGAGGAATCATGCGATTAAAACATACGCACAGAACGCAGGTCTCAAGCGTGCGGCCAGCGTCATCACACAAAATAAGATGTTTGTGACGGCTAAATAGCACTCGTCCACGCTTGTGCTATTAAAAAAAAAACTTTTGTTTGGATAAGCTAAAAACAGGACTAGTATGAAGGATTATTTTTTTCGTGAGGCTTCGGAAAGCTCCCCGACACGCTGTGCTTGCAAGCCACTTCGAAGCTGCTGTCACAGTTGGCACGTGATCCTAGAGGGCTGTAAGGATATTTAGGACATCGCTAAAAGCACCTCAGTGTGTCGACAGCGCCTATCGCTGTTTACAAACATGAAATAAATTTATAGAAGAAATAATTTAAATGCACCTATTTCCTTCGGTGTATTTAGGAACTGGCTTCCATTCGGGGAAATCGAACTATAGGCATCGGGTTTGCATCTCGGTATCCCCGGATTTCGGTAACACAGTTACCTATATTTTACCTATACGCACATCGTTGGAAACATTGCTGCTTTTGAAAAGCGGAATTTGCGAAGACGTGGTCCAATCTGCAAAGCTTAATGTTCCGTTGTCTGGATAAGACAACAAATGATCCGCGTAAAGAAAAACTACAAAAATAGCAGCTGACACAGCCCTTGTCTCTTGAGCATCGTACACATACACACGTAGACAGTGGCTAACTGAACAAAAAATGAGCCGAGTAACTACAAGCAACATTTGTCATAAAAAAGAAAAGAAGTGAAAATTTCAAAGGCTCGTTTTTTTCTTTAGACAGAATATTCTCAGTATATTAGTTGTCATTATTTTTATAATAGACGAAGAAAAGAAGCTTGTACAATCACAAAACATAGAAATACATATAAAATTTAAATTTAAATAATATTTGCAAGAAAAAGTAAAAAAGTACGAGAGCAGGGGCAGCATCTCTACTTGATGATGATTATGCCATCCACCCGGTGGCGCTCACCCACATTGAAGGATGGGACATGAACAGGGTGACAAAATATTTAAAAGAAATACATATGAAAAAAAAAACACGAAAAGTTTATGCTAAAAAACAACGAATTGAATAAGTCTAAATGCTTAATGAGTTAGCGGGCATACCTATAGGTGAATACTTCATCAATAGCTGTTGCTGGGGAAAAGACAAAGAAGTCTTATTGAAGGTGATAATCAACGTGTCCACAATGGGCAAGGTGAGCTGAAACCTTGTTTGTTTATAATTTTATACTTCGAATTTAATGACATTTTGCGAGACGGAGAAGGCTTCAGCCTTTTCTGGCTTACAGTGCGAATTTGGGCGTCCTAGTGCACAAATAACTTTTTGTTACCACTTTGCTTCTATTCCTCATCGCACCCCCTGAAAAATGTAGAACAAAAAGTTAAAACATGATATGAAAAAAAACATGCTTTAACTATTTCACCAATACTTGTACGTACGCGTAATTGTTTAAGCCTTATTAACACCAATTTAATTTAAGTTAGCATCCTAGAAAATTCGGTGTGCAAACAATTCAACCAGTTGTTTAGAATAACCAATCTCGACTGAATCGCGAACTGTAACAGGGCACTTATATAACAGGGCACAATATGAGCGAAAAATTATATTTCGCGCTTCAATGCTTCTAATACAGTTGGCAGTGTTCGGTTCAGGTTCTCAAAGCCGAACCACCGTTTTCGCTGGCACAGAGCTCTGTGCCAGCGAAATTCGATTCCCAAATACTATAAAGCAGCAGAAAATATAAAAAACGAGAAAAAGCGAGAACACTAGAAGAAATGTCGAGTAATTCTTTTGTAATGTTCATTATTGTATCAATACATGCGTTATAGTGGGTAGTTTGTTCTTATTACAGGGACCGACTTGAGGTATATCATACACGTGCCCAAAAGGAATATTGTATTTTGAATAATATTAGTCATACTCCATCCCCTATTTTTTTCGTACATGAGCTGTTACTTCACGCATTATAAATAACTCGCGTACGCTGACACTAGTATGAGTGGACGTCAACTATGTGTAAACGAATGTTGGTGGTTGTGAATGACTGAGTCAGCACAAATGCTCACCATTGATCGGCAGTGATCACCGATGAAAGTGAAGTAACGCACAGGTGAGGTTTGGATATTGCAATGTACGGTTTTCACACTCAGTAACAGGCGGCTGTTACTGAGTGTAAAATGTAGATCGCAGGTATTACGAAGTTACTGAAAAGTGAATTAGTAGCCGCTACTGATAAGCAACGTGAGAGTGAATCTATGAAGGGCAGGTGAGTGGGTGAGTGAGTGACGTGAGTGAGTGAGTGAGAAAGTTATCCTCATAAAAACAGCCGAAGTGATGAATCTGTGCTAGCCCGGAAGAAATTAAGCGCTCAAATATTTTACCTTTAACTGAAAAAAGAAGATTTATTTTGTCAGTGTCGTGTTTTGAGTAACTGATACCTCCTGAATTACTTGCAGGGAGGCTTGGAACTCAACCTCGACTACTTTTGCTCGAGAAGGGGTATTGCCTCCACTGTTGTCACGGTGAGACGTGATTTGGTGTGTAAATTGTCTAGCTAAATAAATTATTGCAGCCCACGAGCCTCCGTTTAAAAATTATATCCAGCAGAATTATTCAAAGCGAAGCTTAAATTACAAGAAGCACGTTTTTACAACCAGTACCTTTGAAGCGGTTTGATTACACGCTTTTATGAGTATTTTTTAAGTAGGTAAACGCATTTGACACTAATATGTAGTTCTCGTTCGAGTGCCTGAATAATGAGTGCTGTGGAGCTAACATCTATTTCATCGTAGTGGAACTCATTAGGATGTCATGCATCTTACATGGCGTTTTATTTTGTGGACCACTTAGTAATGCATTAAGTTTTCTTCAGAATAGTAATGATATTAGCTTAGCAGATAACTCACTGATGAAAAACACAGGGATTACTTATGATAAGAGACAAGGATTACCGCCAATGTTTAGTTCCTAAAACCTGGCTAACATGACGTGTCTCGTGCGCAAGTCACCGTCGAAGCGATAACCACTGCGCATGTTCGCCAATACGCACGTTAGATTGACAGTCAGTGCTCTCAGTCTCCGGCACAAAATCAGTCAATCGTTTAAGCATCTATAATGGCACAACTAGTTCCCATCAGACGTAGAGCAACCAGCCCTGCTCAGCGCCTTTTTGTCTTGGCTGTCGATTGCAGGCTCTATTTCAAAATGGTGTATATTTTGTATGCCGCGATTCCTTTGGCCTTTGTGATCGAGTACTAAGTGTTAGCATAAGATTCGGCCTGCTCGAATGTTTTGTCTGCACGCGTTTGTTCCGCTATTTTGCTGCGGATCGTCTTTTCGTCTCCTGTAGTGCTTCTCTGCGACGCTGTTCGTAATGGTGTTGGCGTCGGCAAACCACGACGGCATCTACATGTGGCTGGGCCACCTGAGCTTCACCTACAGTCTCGTGGGCCTCTACCTGGCGGTGCACAGCCTTTTCAGCTCTCTCGACAGCACCACCACGGTCTTTGTAAGCAGTTTCCACGACTTAAGGTCCGACAAGCTATGCTACGCTGACTGTACCAGTAGGGAGCCGTCATCCAGGTGGCCTGGCAACATTAAGCTGGAGAAGGGGTCTGAACATCGCTGTGGCAATATCAGAGGGCACCAAGCGTTCAGGAGGAGGTAGGCTATTCATGCTCAGCGGGCGAGTTAGGCTCGGGAGTTAGCTTTCCAGAACATCTTCAGACACCACGTACAACAATAACACGCACACAACGTCGCAATTGTAGTTGAATTGGTGGGTTATTGATCGCAGCCGTCCAGACCATACAGTTTTATAAAATTAACTAGATGGTACTCTGGCACTGTGATCATTCAGTAACCATGGAGTGATGGATAGTACATGGATTTGCCTAGTATTCGTACTTGCGGGCCTTGAATAGCACTTGTGACTTTCTTTATTGCTGTGTTTATTTATTGCTGTGAACGAACCCTTTCGAACTTCGTGACCAGATTTGAAACGGTAAACCTGAAAGATTAAAGTGCTGAAGAGCCACCCCTGAACATTTGCTGATTTTTGTTTCGGGACAAAGCAGCTCTAAGCCATGCGAACACAAATGGCGCCACAAGTACGAAGAATTTACAAATCCGTGTACTGCCCATCATTCCCATGCTTGCCGAGGCGTCATGCATTACAGCTCCCATAGACACTAGCTCCAGAGTTCCCTCTAGTGTATTTATAGGAAACTCTATGGTTCAGACCCCATCACCATCACCAGCTTAATGTTTCCAGACCACCTGGTTGACGATGCCCTACCGTATACTGCCTACTCATTTATTGCAGTTCCCCGATCAATGAGGTTAAAAAAAAATTGATGGAGTGGAGATGATTGCCCAGGAGTGAAGCCGCGCCCACCGTAAGATGGCGGCTGTGGCTGCCATCTTACTGGGACTATGATAAGCTGTGGGCGTTTGGCGGTTGAAAAGGAGCGTTTTCTTCGCAGCGCTTAACGAGTTTAACGCGGCAACTTTTTCGGATCAGAGGTGCTCAAGGTGAGTCTTTGAGTAACGAGATTTCTTTCATAAGCCTTGAATGCAAGGCAAATTTTATTTTTGGATAAGTTACTGATACTCGTCTGTACCTTCTTGTCCCCAATAAAGCACAAGCTGACCTTATCCGTGTATATTCAGGATTATTATATGCTGCTCATCAAAGGAAATTAAATTAATGAACTTTGCTTGCCTTGAATACGGCGACCTTGAGCATGCGAAGTAAGCTCACTGTGATAATGCATTTTAGTGAGGATTACGTAGCGAGTCATTGAAAGTAAAATGAACAGCGTAGCAATAAGGAACAAAAAGAGAGCAGAATGAGTTAAAGAACAAACATTTACCGAGGCCATCTGAGTCAAAATCAAGAAGACAAAATGGGTATGTCATGGGCGTAACCAGATTTTTTTTTTGTGTGTGTGTGGGGCGGTGGTTAATTGTACTTTATGTGTGCATGTGCGTGATATTGTACGCGTGCGTGTATATAAAAGCAACCAAAAATGAAGATTTTGGGGGATTTGAGGGGTTTGAGCCCTTGAAACGAGGGGAATGTAGAAAGAAGACAAGATAACCACTGTTTATTGAAAGTAACAGACTGGATCCCAATTTCGGAGAGACGGCAAACAGGCGAGGGGAAGCATAGTTAGGTGGGCATATGAGATGATGTTTGCGGGAATAATGTGGCTGCAGCAAACGTAAGACTGGGTTGATTGGCAAAATATGGGAGAGATCTTCGCCTTGCAATGGGCGCGTCGTAAATTATGCTTGGGACGAACTGTGTAGTTGGTCCTCCTGGGCAGTTTTTTGGCAGTTTTATTTCAAAGGACAAGCTAATAATGCAGTGTGGAGTTTGCATTTTCGAAAGCTTCACGCTAATTTGTGATTACTCGCGAAATTTAACTACGAATCCTAATGCCAACTTTAAAAGCAGGTTATAGAGATAGCAGTTTAGTTTCTTGCTCAGTTTGGTGTACTCCTGACTAACATAGCTCGAAAGCCTTCTTTCTCTAGCAATCAGATGCTTTAAATACTTGCGTTATTACGGTTATTTTACAAATGACATATCCTTCTCCTCATTTTCGTTTCCTTCGATTTCGGGAAAGTAAGCTGCCTAACGCTTCAGTATATAAAAATGATAAGCGATGCTTTCAGATGGGGATAGGGGCTGGAAATGCGTCTGTCTGTCACATGGTCTAGCCACCCGAGCAAAGTTGAAGCACTCGATGAACGCCTTATCCATCTCAAACTGGTTGCTGCGTTCATACTTGAGAACATTGTCGATAAAAAAAGCAAATATTACGCATATCTCGGGCGCAAAATCAATAAGTAGGTATTATATGGTGCGTTCCTTTACTACAAATTACATAGACATGTTATTTCAAAGAGCGTAGTGTTCATGAATGGGGCTCCGCTGAATATGCGACACTAAGCACGAAAGAGCCCTCTGCCGGCGATATGGCGCGGCCACCGGGCAGAACGGAAGTGGTACGAGAACAGAATC